TGTATGTGCTTTGTCTGTATCATATAATACAAAAACCAACTATTCACATTTCAACTTGTAAGTGTCTCTAGAAAATACCCACCAAGCAGTGGACAGCCATTGACGTTTTCATGGCTAAATCTGATTGGACAGCCATGGCCTTTATATTTCAGGATGTTACAAAGGCTTAAATTCAACCTGATTTCAACCATTAAATAATTTTCCCCACTGAGCATGATAGACAACCAACATGTATTCAGACATTAAGGCTAGAACAGAACAGTGGAAGTGTACAAACTCGTCTTTTGTTGATGTTTGGTTGTTCGATGAATGTGATCAGAGAGCCACACAACGGGTAGATTAACTAGTAATACTGGATGCCATTTCTGCGTATCTCCATGTAAATGGTGTTTCTGTTCCAGTGTGTTGCATGCTGACCCCATTAGTTATTGTTCACACATACTTGGATGGCACTGTGCAGCAATTTGTAAGAAGGGTGTGGATATAAATCTGCTGCTCACTCGAGGATTTCTCAGGAGGTTATGAGGAAAAATCTTCTTTTCTGGGTGAGGACTCCTGTCACATGTTATGTCACAGCAGGTACAACTAAAAGACTAAATATAGACCCATACTTTGACTCTGTGTGTACTTGAAGACAATCTGCCTTGAGCTCTGTCCTCTGAAGCACATTTGTGGATACTGAAGTAACTTCAGGTCCATTTATGGCAGTCCATCACCGTGGTAATTTATACTGCACATCTGGAGGAGACAGTGCTCCAGTTAAGAGATCAATAAGTTGAGATCAACAACTCCTAAAACATTCACATAAAAAACGACACATGACCCAGATTTGTCCTTTTTTTCTCAGTTTATTCTTTTGCTGTTATTCTTGTGGTAAGAAACAAGCAGCCACTTACAGATTCAACACGTTCACTTCCCAACACAATGAGAATCTACAAACACGCACAGCCACTGAGCCGCCACAGCGCCTTCAGGACAACAAAACCATCCAACAGTAAAACAACGCCGTCGTCGTAGGTAATTGTAGAAAAACAGCACCAGTTTGTGTGAAGCTGCGGTGATCGGGGGGAGCTTCACTCCTCCTCCTCACCTGTTCATGTGGTGCTCTTCATGCATGGGTGTCGGTGTGGCACAGGTGATTCACGTTGGCACATTTGAACAGGAATAGAAAAACAAACATCCTAAATATATAGAGTGCACGGACAACAAGACGTGATCATGTATAAATATAATACTGGTAGGCAGGAATGAGAGGATCAGTAGTGGTTTATCGTCAGCCTGTGCAGCTCAATCGTCCTGCTCTGTGGAGACTCACTGCTCTGGAAACATCTCGCTGTATGTTCCTACAGCTGGTCCACGACGTGCCTCTCAGTCTCAGCAACACTCTTTGATTTCTGCTCACTCTGAGGTCTCAGGTATTTGGTGTGTGTTCAGACTGCAGTGTGAAAAGTGTGCAAAGGCTCATTAGTATGCACAGAAAATATTCAGTGAGCTGACACACAACATAATCCAAAATATGCCCTTTACTTGTTTGCCTGAAAGAGTCACAACGGTAGCTTTTCTTGTACCTGATGTTTCTCACTAAGAAGCTGCCCTTACTATAATATTTCCTACTATTAATGTATCCTTTATTATTACTGTGTACTACAGAGTGTCTGTGCTGGAGCTCAAGGTCTAATAAAAAGAGTCAGAGTCAGAGCCACAAAGAGCATCCTGCTGCTCTAACAGAGCCTTAAATGCATGAAAATAGACTCAAGTTTGAGTCATGTTCAGACGCTGGTTTAATCATTTATTTGAACCTGCGACCCAGAGAGCAATAAGAGT